ACTCAAGACTCTCAGTACGATGCAGCGGATATCTCTCAGTCTTGCCACGACCTTCTTTCTAATTTTCGTTGCACGGTACATCGTACCGGTAGTGATGAATCGACGATATCTCCGTTTGCGGTGGAAAGCGTGGGCGGGTCCGAGGAGATCGTGTATCGTACCGCATTTTTCACGACTCATTGGCGATGAAGAGGATTGGAAAGATATAGCACGGGCGGTACAACCTCCCACGCCACATCCTGTTGAGAATTTCTCGTCGCTCTTCCCGACTACACAATGGAGGATCTCAGCCAACCCGACGGACCTGCTGAAAGCTTGCCAAAGCAGCGACAAATTCAAAGAATTTTCACCCAAATCATCAAGCAAAGCAGGTGTTTATGGGCCTATTATAGATGGCGAGTCCTTATCTTTACTCTGGGGTCCTGAACTAGGCTTTCAAAATCGCTGCTGTCCAGATATTCTCACCATCTCCCCCAGTCTCCTCACATACCGACCTACGTTCGGTCCCGGACTCGACGGTCGTGCGATTTGTCTCGCGTACGGAATACTATCTCGCAACAAAGGACCTCGTCCTTGGACATTAGTATGTAATCTCAACACTAGCGATGCGATCAAAGTCTTCGAAGAGAACAGCGTTCAGTGGCCTCGACCGAGCACGTGTTTTCGAAGTCTCTACCGTGCGGAATTCACCAGGACTTTCTCCAGTCTAGGACAATCCTTCGTGGTATCTGCTACGGAACTAGCTCTCTTACTCGCAGATACTAGCGAGGAATTGATTGAGGATTGGTTAGATGGAGGGATGGATCAGCAAGATCTGGCTCTGAATAAGAGGGCTGCTGAGCTTGGAGCGTCGCCTGGAGAGCTTGATCGGCTTTATAGCGGTCAGTATGTGGCCATGCTTGTGAGTCTTGCTGTTCACAAGAAGTGTGAGAGGATTAGGCCGGAGATATTGGTGTATGAAGAGCTTTGCAATCTGGAAGGGGTGGATGTTGAGGCGCAGTGGTTTTCGGATCCGTCGGTTGTGGAACGGAAGAAGCAGGAGGTTAGACACGTTGGCTCTGCTGGGTTGACTCTCATATCTGCGATCATTTGATATGAGGATTGACTTTAGTATCACCCACAACAGACAAAGAACTCCTCAATTTTCTTGAAATTAACTACTTTGCCGAAAATAAGTAGGATCTTACCTAAATAATATATTGAACACGGCCTTGGATGAGACACCGTTAATTCAGATAACAAGGTGGTATTTCATGAGAGTAAAAGCAATTTCACGTGTTTTGGAGGGAAAATTAAAAATATCACAGCTGAAGATGGCATTGCAAAGGCGCATTGATTGCTAGGCGGCGATTGCAATGAAATTTGTGCTCTATGGTTATTCATCGACCTTGCTGTATTCACGTTGATCAGGTTCGAATTATACTTTTCCATATTCTCCCTTTTAAATCAGCAAACTTTAGAAGGTGGTTGTACCTTTGTAACTGAAACCTAAACGCAATTGAATTTCTTGATATACCGATATCATAAACCTGAAGCTCCCGAGTTTCTATAACCTCTAAAAACTCAAAGAGAGTCTGAAATGATGCAAATTATCTCTAACCACTGAGCATCATCAACCCCTGTTCAGATACCGGCGGCTATTTGCGCCACAGAGGCACTGACTGCTTGTATATAGGTGATCTTCTTGATAGTCCATGTGGATGGATTGCCCACCCAGCTATCCTCCTCGAAATCGCCCGATTCTACACCAGCTTTTGAAGTCAGCAATATACTCTAGGGTTGAGTTTCAATCAACATCGGCAGTGTATATATACCTCTAGTCATCTCTTCCTTCCGTAAGATGTACTCATTCTTCAGATCCTCGAGCAGCTTCCGATCATACTTCTCCATCATTTCCCAAGTCAAGCCGTGAGTACCTATTAACTTCCAATCCATTGACATTGCCTCGATTTGGCTCAATGGTAACAGATCCTTCGGGGTCTTGGTAGGACTGATTAGCACCACGTCCGGCGATTGGCACACTGAATCGATCCCAAAAACGAAGATGATCTCTTCTATTTTATAGGTTTCGGCTGCGCTAAGGAAGGTTTTAAGTGGTGCAATCTCGTGCATATCGTCGAAAATGTCATATCTCAATTTGGCTTGGAAAGCAATCCTGGAGAGTGATGGAGAATCGCCGAGCAGATCCACAGAATGCACAAGCTGGCCAAGGACATTGGCCATGCTCGTGGCCGCGTTAACCATGAAGAGGGTGATATCGGTTTTAGGATGAGAAAATGCCTTCAGAGTTTTCGTCCATGGATCGCAGCATAGCAAGAACTGCTTTTTGACTCGGACAGCCTGGATACGAGATTCTTGGCAAGTTGAGAGAAGGGATGGATGAGGTTGGAGTTGTCCGTGTTATGGTCTTGGAGTACCCGTTGGCTAATCCGTGAATGAAGAATCCGTGGACCTGGGGATTGAACAAAGCCAGCTTCCAGATCATGGTCCTTAGCTCCAAAGGAAGCTTTGGAAACAGCGAGAAGGTGCTGCAGCCGAGTCCAAATTTTTGGGCAATCGCTCGTAGCTCGGTGGTAGCATTTACAAGGTCTAGTCTCGACGCCTTAAGTGTGTCTGCTTGGGAACGAAAGGTGGCAATAGAGGCAAGCAACATCTCTACCTGGGCAACTGAAATCTCCATGCGCGGGCCAGAGGCGGCTTGTACTAGTCGCAGAATATCTGCTTCGGTGGCACATGGTCCGGCTTTCGAGTCATTGTTGGCTTTTGTATGCGTGATGTATTTGACGAGTTGACTTTCTTTTGTTGTATCTCTATTCTCGACTTTGTCTTTGGAGGATGGAGCGCTACTTGCGGCAGAAAATTGGGGTGGTTCTCTGCCAGCGACTATTTTGCCGGAAGTCGAAGTGATGCGCTGTGTGTTTCCCTGTAACGCCCTGGCGTTGGAGCTCAAGATCTCGCACTTCACGTCAGCTTCAGGAGAGTGTGCTGTAATTGAGCATGAGCCGCAGACTGTATGTTTCTGGGACGAGGTTGGGGACGAGGCAGCCATCGCAGGCTGGGCTCGTGGTTGATTGCTATGTGTCGCAGAGGTGAGGCACGACATGGCTCTGTGGATCTTTCCTCGGGGGCAATGGTCTGGGGTGCAGTAGTGATTTGGATGGAGGCTGGGCGTTTTGAAGGTGTAGTACCGCAAGATTCGCGCCGTTGCGATTGGTGTCGTGGAATGGCTGCTTCTGGTGTCAATCCTTCGGAGGCTTGATGAGTGGGGAAGTGGGCCGGTCGAGTGATCACTCGGGGGGCTCGTAGTGATAAAATTGGAGGTTGGGTGTACTCGAGATATGTGAGAAATTGGGGAGATATTGTTCCGAAAATCGTTGTCGAGGTGGAAAGAAGATGCTGGGGTGGTTGTTGGTCTTTGTTGAAGGCAGGCTCGGCTATTTACTTCGTTCGCCGAAAATTTTGAGGTAGTCACGACCGGCATCGGCTTGATTCATATCATATTCTGTAGCGAATAGAAAATACGGGCACCGGAAAGAATTTCTGCACTTATCTATTCTTGATCAGCATTAGAATTCACTTTCATACTCACGAATTGGAATCATATGGTCAAGGTACTTGGTCTGTTGGTTTGGGTGGTTACATGTTGAGTTAATTGCAGCAAAGGAGGTGAATTCATAGCATTTTCGTCTTTCAAATAAGCTCGTATCCAGACTCAGACAGACTCCGGTGCTTCAACCGTCCTCTGTAGGATCTTGAACATGGCAGCAGCGAAGTTCGTGCCATTCCCCTTGCCCACAAACTCATCCAGATGCCAGAGCAGACGTTCTTCAGCCAAGTGAGCGAGAACTTGTCACCGTCGTACCAAATTTTCTCCAGGTAATGATGGCAGCAATTTAAAGAGTCGGCTTTGATAGAATTCCTCTCCATACACGACCGGATTGTTTGAGCCTCACGAAAGGATTCGGATCTGAATTGGAGCGAGACGTGCACGATGGAGCGCAACGAACTCAGAGACCGAAGAATACAGCTTGAACTGCCTTGCCTTGGCCTCCCGTCTATGAGGCTCTTGTGCGGCATTTACTTGCCGACTTTGACAATCTTGCTCGGATTGGATCTCCTTTCGGGCGACATTCGCACTCTGTCTGGTGTACGTCTCGTCCTGATTTTGCCCTTTATTTCGGGCTTGAGCGGTATGGTCGACTCTTTCTGGCTTGTTGCTATTCTTGAAAATTTGCCGACGGAGCTAGGAGACTCATTGCGTGCCTTGGACGGGAACTTGGACTTGGACTTGAACGTTGATCTAGTCTTCGGTTTTGATCCCGTGTCCGAGTCTTTGGCTCTGCTTCAGGAGGAGAGTATCGTTTCTTTTTGCTGTTCCTCTGCTCTTGAAGTCGGGAGTTCTCTTCCTCTCACATTGCTTGTGTGTCTGTTCCTCTTGCGGCCGCGATCTCTTGATGAAGGTGCCACGATAGTGGATTTTCAACCAGTTCAAAGAGGTCCAGCACGGTAAAGTCAGGAATCATTAAACAATTTAAAACATCAAGTAATGGAATCGATATGAGTCAAGCAATATCATTGTACTGTACGTAATAGGACTTCCAATAACAGCCTTTGTTGGTTGTAGATCTTTTGATGACGTCCTAAGTTTCTGTATCCTCGAGAAAGCTACTCCTTGTCAAAACACGAACTTAAGCGGAGATTATAATTTCGTACAGAGTATAATGCTCACATACCAAAGAAACACTTCATGAGATACAACAAAATTATGTGCCATGACGGTGGAGGTAGCTTGAATCAATATGCACCCCCTCTAAGCGAGAAAACTCAACTCCCACAAACCCACTCTCCACTCAGTCACACTCTCCAATCCAATCGGACAAACTCTGACCCTATATACCAATAAAGAAAGACCAGTTAAAAAAAAAAAAAGAGGCAAAAGAGAGTGACAAGCTTAATGGAATTAAACCATCTTAACTTTCAATCCAGACATATTACATATCTGGCGGTGCTGGGAATCGAACCCAGATTGAAACGGGTCAGCATGAAATTCCTGAAAGGAAAACCACAACGTCACGTGCTACCATTACACCACACCACCTAGGTATCATGAGGTTGTGTCGGTTTGGGCTTATTTGTGTAGATACAGGAGGGAAAATTTTGCCCGTAAGTGGGTGCTGCAAGTGAGTGGGGTTTGTGAGTGAAGGGTTTGCTGGCGCTCGGGGTTGCTGCGTCAGTGGGTCGACACGTCATGGCAGTGTGTCGGGCGTGAATCATCGATATTCAAAAAGCAGGGAGAAAACGACACCGAATTATTATAGAGGCTACATAAAAGAAAAGAGGTAATAGGGTATGGAGGGCTCCTACCTCCTAATGCTAGGTGGCGCACGGACCACAGGCTTAGGCCTTTATTCTTAGCTTTAGCCTTAACAGTCCTAAATAATAAAATAACACGTTGGCTCCTTTACAATTCTTGATTTCTTTAATAATTGACGCAAGAAGTATAAAGATCTCTATAAAGATTTAAGTCTTTTATTATTCCTTTTTCCTCTAATTGGTTTATATTTATAAAACAATAAGGACCCTAACCAGGAATCTCAAGCTGAAGCTCGGAAGAAAGAGCACAGGTACGGCTAAAAGTCGGTGTCTTATACATTTTTATTTAGAGGTAGGTTAAGATTAGGGCGTTTGGCAGAGGGTTCGGGGATGACCCTGCATATCTCATATTTGAGGATTGGTAAAACAAAGGTGATAGACACTATGGCCAATACATTGCTGAAAGGTAAAGGTAAGTCATCTGTGTTACTGAATGAATCGCTGCATACGACGTTAAGCTGACATCCCCTAAATATAAAAAGGTTGAAGTACAGAGTGAGGCTTGCTACTCAGGGTTTAGGAAGGTGCTAAATGCATCAGTGCTAAGCCTGAGAGAGACCTGGAAGCATATTTGACAATGACACAGAAAAGTGAGAGAAATCTAGAACAGCGTCCTGCATCCCAGCTAGCACCGTCCAATTATATCCCAGGCACGCAAACGTGTCTGCGGGCGTCAATCAAGGTCACCTGCCCTTTCGTGCACTCGGCTAAGCTGCAAGACTCCGAGGAGCAGTGCTCAGATGCGGAATACTATCCAATATAGTAGTAGACAATGGTAAGCCTAGCTATTAGTTAGCATATAGGATCATATAGGTAAAATACTTACCTGCTTTACGCCATCTAATCATAAAGTTATGCCCAGCTACTCTTATAGCCTCCAGATTCTCGTAAGGGAGAAAAGCGAAATCATTCTTGATCGCTGTGCAAGAAGGACGAGGTTGGTCTAACGCATAGGTCATGAAGCTAGCAGGTAAGAAGCCGGCAAGTTCAAAGTCTACGATATAGAAGTCGCCTTTATCTTTAAAGATAAAGTTTCCCTCGAAGAGATCCGAATAACAAAAGCATAGATTTTCATTTTGAAAATTAATACTTAAGCCATTTGTCTTTGGCATATTTGCTAGCTAGCACACCGAGTGTTAGTGTTAGTATCTCGAGTACGTTGAGAGCACCTTACAGCTTAAACGTGACCTTGTAAGGCATCGACTGAGGTATACTCAATTGAAGCAATAGCATCTTTAAAGAGGGGATGCCGAATGGTCCCTCTACCTATCGTCCCAGGGGTGGCGTTGACAGGGACTTCGAAAGACAAGAACAGCTTAATCGCCTTAGAAATTTGGTTGAAGAATAAGTCGTGTAAAATGTCCTGGTCAAGTAACTCTTCAAGCGTTTGACCTTGAACGTACTCCATGATAATATATCTAGTAGAAGCTTCCTCTAGTACGCGGTAAATTTTAAGGACATGAATACCAGTTCTTTTCTGCTCGGACAGTGCTTCGAGAGCGTTGAAGGCGAATTTTTGATTGGATATTTCTGACTCAACACCAGACTGCGAACTTGCAATCTTGATGAAAGCAATCGGAGCATTCTGAGAGGGTACACTACAGTGCGTGCACCCTGGCAGTAATGTGTTCTGCAAAAGGCCAAGATTTTCTCATTTGAAGGAAGCTGCACCGACATAGTAACTAGTAAGCGAGGTCGTGGCACTGATCATCTAGGGAGATGTTGAGAAGCTGGAAGTATAAGTAGTTAACTACATTTAGTGACGACGTATGGAGAGAGTGCAGAGCCGAAGTGCGGCACCGCTGCCTGATGATACAAAACCGGCACCGGCAGAAAAAGGCGGTGACACATCACCACCTCTAAGCTAGCGTGCCCACCACTCTGTGCACATGAAGTCGCGCCGCCTACCAATTACGAGTGCGGTTGGCGGAGTCAAGAGACCCGGGCAGACGAAGAAAGTGGCGATGTGCAGCCGAAACAGTCGCAGAGCAGTCTCTCTCGCCCCCAGAATCTCGTTGAATTCCTCAAATCCTGTCATGGCTATCCTTTAAGCGACTCTCCATTGCAACAGGAGGCGTGTTAGGTGAAGATCTCGACAAGTGCGCGTTTCATGATACAGTAAGTCTATGATATCTCGACCAAATCAGCCCTTTGGTTGACAGGTTGTGGCCTTGTAGGGACCTTTCGGAAGATTCTGCAACTATTAAAGTTGGACAGGCAGTAAATTCAATGGTGTAGTTGGGGAAGTATCCGAGAACGCCATGAGCTACCTAAATCAATCAAAGTAACTCCACAACTTCATCCCCGACCCCGACCCCGTCCACAGAAACTTGGTCTTCCTGCTTTCCCGTCTCCTTCCTTCCGCTATCCACCCTCAGCGTGTCTCCCTCCAGTCACAAGCTCCTATCTTGAAGCAAACCCAGCAAAGGGTGTCAGTCTTCTTATCTCTACTGGTGAAGCCAGCCATTCAACGAAACGTTTAGTGGCCGTTTGATAGGACTCCGTCCCATGGTGAAAATCAAAAGCAGCTTGATCCTCATCTACCATTTCCAGATCATCAGCAAAAACAATTCTGGAAACAATTTTTGAATGGAGTTCCAACTAATGACGCAGAGGAAATAGCTCACATATTTCTTGAATGATAAACACATGCCCATTGGCGGTTTCTTCTTCGAAGATTTGGTACTTTAACTAGGAGAAGGTCAGGATTGAAACCAGATGCTGGAGAGAGCTATCAGTGCAGACTCACGATGCCTGGCTCGGTCTTCTCCACATAACTGGCAAGGTCTACGATGAGTGCTTTCATCTGGAAATTCTTTTAGGTTTTACTCAAAAGTGATAATCTCATTGGGCTAGTCTTGATCGTCCTTACCTCAGCTACCTTATCCGGCTTAGTACGGATGGTAATGGACAGATGAATTGTGGAGCTCATGATGAGAATTTGAATTATTAGAGATGAGAGGTTGTTTGTTCAGCGATAGCAGGGATTGAAGGAATTTTATTGTCTTGGAGTTTGATGTGTTTGTGGATGGTTTTCATAGCAAGATAACCTACAGCGAGCTGTCTCGCTACTTGTACCTGTCGTTCCACCCCACCACTGCGCATAGAGTCTGGCTCAATGTACCCCCCCTGCCCTAACGTTATGTAGTAGATACTTTTTCTTAGCTGCTTTTACAATAGTAAGATTATTCCCCTTTCGATTACTATATTAATATACCAAAGTCAAGACTCGTAAGCCCCTTATCTAATTTAAAGCAGCTTGAAATCTTACCTTTTTGCGTTTAAGTAATAGGCAAAGGATCTCTATAGCAGCGGTCGAGCTCAGTGACTCGGAGTGAATTAATCGTGGTTCACCAAAGAGTTATGCATTGAGGATTGACAACCTACCAGATCCTTTCGTTTGTCACCGCCATGTCTAGGGCCTTCCTTTCTATTGTACTTTTTGAAGAAGATTACTGCTAGAAGTACAAGTGCAGATGCCTTCGTACGAAAGGGATTTTCAAGTGGGTCTCGCCCACCCAAGTAGTCTGTCTGCCTTACCATTTGAGGAAGTTTATGGAGGATATTTTAGAATTTTAGACTGTTGATTAGGAGAATAACCTCCCCGCCGGACACGGGCGGACAGGACTCACTTGAGACCCCCTTTCGTACACAGAAAACTGATTATTTCCAACACTGTACGAAGAACAAGTGGTTTTTCACTTAGTCATTTCTGGGCTGCTGATTGGACCGCCGAGACGGCTGTTTTACCCCTTGTCCTCGGAGCGGACAATACTATTACTGTTCCCAAAGAAACTTTCTAAGTTGAACTAATCTCTAAATGTAAAACGCCTGACACATAGGCCTATGAAACTTAGTCGTAGTAGTAACAGTCAAACAGGCAACCATCTAAATACGTGTAATGCATTTGGAAGCTGGCGCAAGCGCTGTGGAGTTCAGATAAACTTAATTAGCGCCAAGACGAACGGAGGGGATAATGGGAGATCCTGTTACAGTCCGGATGCTAGGTAGGCTAAGCTTTGATGGAGGATATCACATCGATATCCCGATCTTCCGCCACGTCAATGGAGTGATTTAAAATCATCTCTTGCATTCATCCCATCACGTTATGTAACGCTAGCTGAGATTAAGCTCTCACTAGCTAAGGTATCGGACCAAAAGATCACAATATTCAGCGCAAGCTGAATACGCTTAACACCGTAGACATATTCTAGCAGCTATTTCCACGTGCCCTTACACGTTATAAGAACGCCCTTTCGCGTTCACCACCCATCATCCACCTCAAAGTTCATCAACTTCAATCTCTCGAAAGCTTCTGATTGTTCAACAAAATGTCCAAGAGCGAAAACCACGCTACCATTCTCCGAGAGCAGGGAGCCAAATTGGAGTTCGAAACTCGTCCAGTTCCAGTTCCGGCTGCTGGAGAGGTGCTGATTCGAAATCATGCCATTGCTCTTAACCCCGTCGATTGGAAGCGCCGCGATTGGGGGTTTGCAATTGCCTCTTATCCCACAATCTTGGGTAGCGGTATGCCTTCTGCTTGAAGTCTTTCCGTCCCCAGCTCCTGATCGAAGTCCCTCGCCGCATGCCTGTCTATATTGTGCTAACTCCTGATCGCTGCTAGACGTAAGCGGTGTGGTGGAGGCAGTCGGTGCGGACGTCAAGCTGTTCAAAGCCGGCGACCGAGTCTTTGGTTTCGCAAATGGCCTTGTGACAGGAAATCTC